GCGCACCGGTGACTAAGCAACAGTGGGACTACATACACAAGATGGGCGACAGCTTGCGACAGACGTTCGAAAATGTCAGCGCAGTCTTTGCACCGAGCTGCATCAGTCACAGCGTACTCACGAAGAGGGATTGGCAGTTGGTCAAGATAGACGAGGTTTCCCTGGCGCAGGCGTTGCACTGTTGGGAGCAAATGCCGATTGGTAATCGTCGAAACGAGTGAGTGATCCAATCTTCTCTTTTTCTTCTTTTTTTCTTTTCTTTTACACAAATTTGCGCGACAACTAGTTGTTTGCACATTGATATACAATTGAAATACACTACGACCAGGAAAGACGAAAAGTTGCGAAAGTTTCCCACGAAGCGCCTCTTGTTTCATTTGCCCGTGTTTCGCGACGAGCCAACAGCGAGAAACTAACTTCGTTCCCTGTTAATTTCAGCACTCGTTCGCCAATTGAGACGAACCAGCCGTGCGCGAAGTCGCTGCGGAAGCTGCTGCGATCCGGCCTGACGAAGGGAAACGGAACTTCGTTTGAGCCGGGAAGAAGCGGCAAGAGCGAGTTCGTGGCGGAGTTGCAGAAAGTCAGGTCGCCGATGACCGAGGGCAAGTCGCCGAACGTTCTGTCGCAGAACGGCAGAGAGAACAAAAAGAGGAAGAGACGGAAGCACAAAGGGAAACGCAGGGAGAGGAACAAGGTATCGAGGACGAAGAAGGAGAAGCACGAGCGCAGAAAATCTGCAGGTAAATTGTTATCTCTCTCTCTCTCTCTCTCTCTCTCTCTCTCTGTCTGTCTGTCTAAATCATAGATTTATCGAGGCCCGTGCATAGTTTTTTATATATATTTTCCTATCAGTTCGATGTATCCTATTATATTATTTACGAGGATGTTAAAATAACTTTTTACAGTGAAACAATATACAAATATGCTTATAAAACAATTTGAAAATTAATTTAAGAAATATGGAAATTCTTAATGAGAATACTGGCCTCGTTTTTCTTTAGATAGATTTCAAGATGCCCTAATAAAACTGAAATTTTTTCTCCTTATTTTACTTTTCTGTGTGCGCTTTGCGTGGCGATATAAATACTCATGGTTGAAATAATAAAATTCCAAAATAATAATGTTCTTGGACACATGTGATCTAAATGATTAGACAGGACTTATCAAATGAGTCGGTGTGAAGCACACAACTAAAGAAACGATCCGAACGCAACTTTGTGTATTTGTTTTGGTGAAGAATGCGCGAAGAAATGTGACGAACACTGTCTGAAATCCGTTGTCTGAATTCCAGGCCGCCGGAAGGGTAACAAGCAGAACAACGACAGCAACCACACGGGCATGTTCAACGGGACGAGACCGCAGCGCTCGGTGATACCATCTGGCAAACGGAAGTGTGTCCAGGGCTGTCACTTCCGGTTAATCGAACGTTGCACTTGGCCGCAGTGTAATCACAGCTGCCCGAAGCTGCACAACCCGTTCACCGGCGAGGAAATGGACTTTATCGAGTTGCTGAAGAGCTTCGGCCTCGATATGAAGAGCGTGGCGAACGCGTTGGGCATCGACATACAAACGTTGAACAGTATGGATCACGACGAGCTGTTGAATCTTCTTACGCAACGAGCCAACTAACAGTCGTTTTTCCAAACTAACGTTTAGAAGACACCACATTCCGTGTAGGGAGAGAACGAATGGAACGACGATGACGTGTCGTGGGATCAGTGTAGTAATTTGCCTAAATTTTCTTCGTCGTTCTTCGCTCGCGACTGAATGGCGACTCGTTTTAGGGATCGTCGTTCAAGAAAGAGGAAATTAGCGCGGAGATCAATTAAATTGTACATAAGTATATGATTTGTTAGAGTTTCTATTGGAAATATACTCTATTGGAACACGATCGTCGTGTCCGACGGTCGAGTTCATCTACACCAGCGAGAGTATGCGAGAATTCTCAACTCTCGCGCGTGAAGCGTGCGAATTATCACAGCACGCTTTGCCGAGTAGCCGAGTGTAACTTAATTTATTTGATAGGTTGTAGGTAACGTGTGTAATATCGCGTTACGAATTAATGTTCACCATTGAACAACGCGGTTGTTGCTGATCAGCCATCAACGCCAGCCGTTGACGTCCAATTTACCAAAACGTACTCTCGCACTTTCCTTCGATCGTTTTGTACCTGGTCAATGAGAGAGAACAGCATGCCATTGCAAACTACTTCTTTTCAATTGTAACGATTAGATCAGATACGAGATATCGGTTAAGCGAAGCGATCTTCTCTCTAGTTAGAAGAGACTTGATGAAATTTCGAAACGAAACGAGCAATGCAATTATCCGACGAACATCAAACACCTATTACACGATATGTATTACCGAAGAAAATTCGGGCCGAAGACGTTCAGTATTAACTCACTGCCGGCTTATGGTCGTGCTGCCGTTCCATGTCCGCTGCGACTGCAAGAGGGCGGGAGGGGGGGG